CTTCGCCTTTTTCTTCCCTCTTTTCTTCTTCTTGCTCACGGCTCTCATCTACTTTCCTTGAACCAAAAGAAAACGAWRCTTAGTGACAATCAACACGTTAACAGCGATAATAGCASCTTCGTATGTTTAGCTYGARTACCTTGGTTCTACGTGCCCTTTGCGYACATTCTTTAGCAGTGTGATCTAAAAGAGAAATTCGTTTAATAATATCAATGCTTATCGATATTTGTTTGGAGTGAATTAGTACTAACCTTATTGTTAGATGGTGGTTTGTGCTTCTTGCTAGCTTGTTCTGCCCTGATGAAACATGCCACATTTAATACAATAAATATATTTGACAACTATAAACGCAAGGACTACGCAAAGTTATCAAGAGAGTGAACAACTCAATAGAAATCGTAAATTTTGTGGTTTTGTCATTTCGACGCTTGAATTAAGTTAACTGTCGTCGAAACATTTAGCAAACACGATTGTTTCAATAGGGATTATTTGAAWTTATGCACTAACAATGTCTTACTTTGTGTTCTTTGCCATAACGACCTGTGCTGTGATGATACGCGCKCGCTCTTCTTCACTTGTGTATTGTGTCGTGTACAAACGCGAGGAAATTCAATCCGCACGCGCGCGCGCTTGATCAAGCACACGCACAAGAATTTGCGCGCTACCCATCAATGTTTGTTTACGAATTTTTCTTCAACTGTTGTAAAACATATAGTGAACTGAAGAGGTTTTAATAAACGAAACTAGTTTTCACTATTCTTGGTAGTCCCTGGCCTGTACGTACGAAAATCATTATGTTGGAGTGATTTACATTTGTAAAGTTCATGCAATTTACAAACTCTTTAGTGATCAGATTTAAAAAGATTTCTAGAAAATTTGTAAAGTTTATGGCAATTTCCTATTCTCGCGCGCGTATACATCCCATAATGAATGTATTCCTATGCTGCAACATACTCTTAACCCAATGATACAAAAAGCATGCAAAAAATTACATATTAGTCCCAGCAAATCAACAAAAAACTGACTTCAATCACGTTTAAACTGATTTTCYATTATTTTTGTTTTGTTTCAGTGATCTGAGACTCGATAAAAAGACCACAAATGTTGCTCTCAAATGCAAAGAGTGCCACTGGTGTATCATGACTATGTTGGTACAGAGAAAGATCCATCTGAGTACATCACCCAACCAAGTTACAACAAAGACATGTCGGGATGGTATGCCTTAAGTAAGCCAGCGATTGGATTGATCAGCGGTGAACGCTATTGGCCCATTTCAGGTACATTAAAAAATGATAGACGTCTTCCCTTTGTTACTTGTGTACTCGAGTTAGTGGTATAGCTATAGTGTTGTGCACTAGAACAGAATGCTTGTGCAACTTTGATAATAATGGTTCCTATATCAAAACAAATTCGATAAAAAACGAACGACTGCAAAAACAAGCATAATCTGATGGCACGAAAATGGTTCATAATTACATAAAAACGTACTTGCGTATGAAAAGAAAAGCTAGTSTACTTTACAAAATAGATAGGAAAGGCAGACAATAGCAACACAAATCAG